GTCTGAGTTTTAAAAATTAGGATCAAGCCATCATTTCCGAGAAGGTTCTTTGCGCACTCAGTGAGTGTGTTCATTTGAACTGGATTTGATGGAATTGACCTTTTTTTTTATATCACACAGATTGTGTTATTTCATGTGACAGTTGGATGATTCAAACGTTAGGCTATTGACTTCCCCCCCATGCTAGGCAGGGGATGCGGTAGCCTAGTGTATGGGTCAATCAACTATCACGCATTTTCATTATGTTATATAAACATTCACATATAGTATATATAAGTATATACCACACATACTACATCAGCATATGCATCATATTTATGCATTATCATTAAACATTTTACTCATAAAACCATTGTTATGCATCCATTCAAACCTCATTTATGCATGACATAATCATTTTACGTATGCATTATCATTATGGAATAAACTGCCACATTTTTACAATAACAGCTATTCATCCATACGAAGAACTTGGAAAACGTGAAAGAACTTTAGTACCATTCTTGGTAAGCTGTTATGGCATACGGTAGTGGCAATCGTTTGTAACGTTCACCATATTTTTTGTTTTTTTAGTATAGAGGATGAAAAAAAAAAAAATTAACATAACGATTGTAATAGGTTGCTTCGCAACCCAAAAACAGCACTTACAACTTTCCAGAACAATACAAAAAAACTTGAGTAATCAAGTTGGACCCAACTAGAAGGGGGGGGTCACTATTTTATACCCCCATCTGGGGGTATATCTGTCAACAAGACTAGGCAAGAATGATTGAAAGGAGGGGGGTTTCACTAGCAGCTGTTGGGGTACATATAGCAAACCCTAACTGGGTTGTACTCGCTATAGAGCACCCCACTACAGGCTAGACAATAATAACATTCTGACAATATCCGGGGCATGACGGTACCGTTTTAATCAGGATTGAAAAAATAAAATTATGCATGCGCTTATAATAAATCAGGGGTTTACAAGGGGGGCGCTTATAATCGAGTTCCGGCCATAAGCGCCATGCTCCAGATAGAAGCGCCGGCGCCTTTAATCGGACGGCGCCTATATCCGGGGCCATACGGTATTTCCAACACTAACCTACCGTAGGTGATATCATGTCAAGAACTGAATGATGGCATTGACAATGTTGGTTGGGGTACATAAACCTAACCCTAACTGCTGTACCCCATATTACACACCTCTCTAAAAGCTACAATATTTGACACAAAACATAACATTGAATATGCGTTAATGTGACTTGCTCCAAAACTGCTTACAACACCTTCCACAATCGGGCACCATCAAGCGAACACAAACATCACTGCACGAGAGGAAAGCAAATGAATTGCGGCCTACTTCTTCTTTGACCGCCGTGGGGGTTTAGGCAATCCCAACTGCCCCCACTCTGCCAGCACCACATCCCGCTCCTTCTTCAGCTCCGCTGCTGCCACAGCATCCCCTTGCGCCTCACATGTCTTAATCAAAATCATGTACGCCAAATCATACGGCCCCGCCCCCGCCTCCCTCATTTTCCCCAGCACCTCCCGGCCGCTCCTGTAGTCGCCGGAGCGGCAGTGGGCGGCGAGCAGCGCAGTGTAGGTGGGCGAGCAGGGGGGCACGCCATCCTCCTCCAGGGTGGCCTGGAAGAGTGCCTGTGCGTCCGTGATGCGGCCCGCCAGCCCCAGGCAGTTGATCATGCGCGCACACAGGTCCGCGTCGGGCTTGTACCAGTGCTCCGTGCGCACGTGCTCAAAAACCTGCAGGTGGCATGGCGGTGGGAGAGAGAAATGCGGACGCAGGGAGGTGTTTACCCTGAATGGAGGGAGTCGTAAGGGGGAACTGTGCAAGGGAGGCTTTGGCGGAGGGACGGGAGGGAGGGTTGGAGGGAGCGGAAGAGGGGTTTAAGAGCTGTAGAAAAGGTCAGCGAAGAACGAAATACGGGAGAAACTTTTGAGTCGACTCAATAGTGAGCACATGGAGAAAGAAGATGTAACACATCTTCTTAAATGCATCTTCTTAAATGCATCTTCTTAAATGCATCTTCTTAAATGCATCTTCTTAAATGCATCTTCTTAAATGCATCTTCTTAAATGCATCTTCTTAAATGCATCTTCTTAAATGCATCTTCTTAAATGCATCTTCTTAAATGCATCTTCTTAAATGCATCGTAGAAGGAGACCCACAACGAGAACTCACTACGTAAAAGCTTGTGTTGGAGAAAGGGACATATGGAGGGAAGGCAGGGAGGGTGGAATTGTAGACAAGTGTGCATCGGAAAGAAGGATGGCATAAGGAAGCATGACAGGGGTGTAGAAGGAAGCATTGAACATGGGTATAATGATTGATGCAACGTATAAAGGTGACATGGGAACAGACCCTCGGACGCAGGGAGGGGAGGGAAAGTGGGGGAGGTGGAAGACAGAAAAGAAGGCACTGGGGGGGGAACATAGTGAGGGGAACATAGTGAGGGGAACATAGTGAGGGGAACATAGTGAGGGGAACATAGTGAGGGGAACATAGTGAGGGGAACATAGTGAGGGGAACATAGTGAGGGGAACATAGTGAGGGGAACATAGTGAGGGGAACATAGTGAGGGGAACATAGTGAGGGGAACATAGTGAGGGGAACATAGTGAGGGGAACATAGTGAGGGGAACATAGTGAGGGGAATGGACATTGGATTAAACATGAGGGTGCTGCTCTGGGAATCGTGCTGCAATCGTGTGCTGACACTCGCAGGAGATCAAGTTGACGTCAAGTTAACATTCGTGTGGTGGGAAGTAAACCCTCAAAGACATCCTCCTCCCCACACACACCAAAACCCTCCCCACACACCAAAACCCTCCCCACACACCAAAACCCTCCCCACACACCAAAACCCTCCCCACACACCAAAACCCTCCCCACACACCAAAACCCTCCCCACACACCAAAACCCTCCCCACACACCAAAACCCTCCCCACATACACCAAAACCCTCCTGAACCCTACTCGTTACCCTCCCAACCCTTCTCGTTTCCAACACCAGTGATCATGACAGGGAGAAGACTCATACTCCTTTTGTGGCAACCTCTATTACCAACTGCTCGTTGTTCTCTGTTGGATGCTCTCCGCCGCCCTCGTCTCTCTCCTTCGTCGCTCTACCACACTCCACCATACCACACTCCACCATACCACACTCCACCATACCACACTCCACCATACCACACTCCACCATACTCCCCACGCTTCCAGCTACCACCCATCCGTTCCCACTGTTGAGAAATATCTTTCACCCCCTCACCGTCACCTCTCTCTCTCTATCTCACCCGCGCGGCCAGGCGCCATTGGTGCTGGCGCTGCAGCTCGTGCAGGGCGAGCAGCAGGTCGGGCTTCACCAGCCGCGCCACCTTGCTGCGCATCACCGCCTCCACGCGCGCCCCGCACACCCACCGCTTCCCCGCGCCCGCGCTCCCTGCCTCGGCTGCGGTATCAGCGCTGGTCAAAGCGACCATCGGTGTGGCCGCATGTGCAGGTGCTGCTTGCATCCGGTCCTGGCTGCCTGCATCCCGAGTCAACAGCATCAAGTCCTGAGAACGATCGCTCATACACGCCATGTCTCCGTCATGACCTTGTCGAAACATCTCTTCCTCCTCGCTCTCCTCCACTTCCCCCATTTCCTCCTCCTCCTCCCACCGGCGCTGCTCGTCTCGAGCATCCAGCACTGCGGCCAGTTTCAGCTCTTGAACGGCATCCACCGCCTCTCCAGCCATGTTACGGCTTCGCCACAAGCTCTCGCGCTTTGACGCCAACAGCGTGTGTGTGGATCGCCGAAATCCTTCATGGCGAAAGATCGGCGGCGAGTGCAGGGTGAAAGTAGATGGCAAAGGCGACAGTCTATTGATGTTTGCCGGCGACGGAGTTATACGAAACATGAGAAAAATGTTGGGAAGATTTCCGGCAGTATTTGGGAGAATCTGCAGGAGGTGTGGGGTGAAAGCGGTGGGTTTCCATGCGCCCCGTAAATGGAGTGCCATATTGCCAGGGGCGGCAGTGGCTGTAGCGGCAGTAGCAGGGGCGGCCGCGGCTGTAGCGGCAGTAACAGGGGCGGCAGTGGCTGTAGCGGCAGAAACAGGGACGGCAGTGGTTGTAGCGGCAGTAACAGGGGCGGCAGTGGCCGTGGCAGAGTGGCGGGTGTAGCAGCCGCTGCAGCAGTGGCGGCTATAGCAGCGGCTGTAGTCGTAGCTGCAGCAGTGGAGGCTGTAACGGCGGCTGTAGCTGCAGTTGTAGCAGCAGCGGCTGTAGCCGGAGCAGCGTCGGCGGCGCTAGCTACTGCTTTTCGCGCTACTGCAGCGCGAGCTGCTGCTGCGTTCGCGATTAGGTGGCGCTAGCTGCTGCTGGTCGCGCTAACGCGGCGCACTACTGCTGCTGCTAGCGGGACGAGTAAGTTCCGCGGGAGAGGCGAGGGGAGTGTTGCGGCTGGTTCCCAGACGAGCTGCTCGCGCTCAGAGGCAGCAGCGCATTGCTGCTGCTGCTCGCTCGTCTGGGGCCGCCCGGGGGGTGGGGTCGGCGGCGCACGAGATTGATACTAGGGCGAGATATAGCCGACATAGCTAGTGTAGGCTAGGAACGAGGGGAAGTGATCTAACCACGAGAAGAAAAAGTGCACTAATTAGTTGTAGCACGGTTCAATGTGGTGTGGGGGGGTTTCGAGTTTGTGATTTGTGAGGGCTTAGTGTGCTGGTTGGGTTTTCTAGTTGCAATGCGTTTTAATCTGGTGTAGGGGCTGGTTTAGGGTTTTGTGAGGTGCTGACAAAGTTAATTCTACAAGATGAGATTTCGATTCTGTTAGTCCCTATCTCGTCGCTAAACAGTGATGCGAGATTCTAACACACGTTTCAAAATAGTGCCCCGATTCTAGGCTGCCCGAAAATTTCGTCCGAGCGTCAAGCGTCAAAGCGTATGTCAAGCGTCAGCGTCGAAACGTTTTGACGCTTGACGCAACCAGCCTGAGCGTCAACTCCAACTTGACTGCTATGATGGCGCCCGGCGCGCACAAGCCAGGCCACCACCGGCAGCTCACAGCGCAGCAGCAGCTGCCGGGCGGGCAGCAGCCGCACGGCTGCGACGTGGTGTCGCGCCTCCTCGCGCCGTTCGCCGTGCTGCTCCTCCTCGCCGCCCTCCTCGCCTACCTCGCCCTCTCCCACGCGCAGCCCCCCCCGCCCGCGCTGCTCCTCGCCTCCACCAGCCGCCCGCCGCCCGCCGTGTCGCGGCGGGACGAGGAGGCGGGCGGCACGATGCGGTTCGACGGGGCGGCGAGGGTGGTGCGGCTGGCCGTGGGTGTGAGGGAGGGAGGCGGGGGTGGGGGCGACGGGAAAGGGGCGGATGCGAGGCAGGACGCGCGCGGGTGGATGATTGACCCGCTTGCTGCAGCGGTGGCCGCTGGGCTGAAAGGTGAAGGGCGGGGTGGGAGGTGAAGGGCGGGGTGGGAGGTGCAGGGCGGGGTGGAAGGTGAAGGGCGGTGTGGGAGGTGAAGGGCGGGGTGGGAGGTGTTGAAAACGAGGGTGGGAGGAGAAGTCGATAGATAGAGGGGAGAGGAGGTGATGTTTTGTCCTCCTCATGCTTCGGAGCTGTTATATGCTGGACCCATCTCGTACTCTTGATCACACTCAGCACCTAAGCCACTATACTCTAGTCAATCCTCTCAAGCCTCTTTGAGCCCACGGGTGCCCTCTGTGCCGCCCCTCCCCTCTCCTCCCAGGGGGTGCCACATCATGCCTCATGACGCATGTCGGGGAGGTGCTACCTGAGAAGATTCGTGGAAACCACCGGCACCACGACTACAACGAGACGCTGGTGCTGTGGGGGGCGAGAATGAGAGTGCGGGTGAGTCACAGCCACGACTGCTATTGCTCATGGGGGTGAGTCACAGCCACGACTGTTATTGCTCATGGGGGTGAGTCACAGCCACGACTGTTATTGCTCATGGGGGTGAGTCACAGCCACGACTGTTATTGCTCATGGGGGTGAGTCACAGCCACGACTGTTATTGCTCATGGGGGTGAGTCACAGCCACGACTGTTATTGCTCATGGGGGGTGAGTGACAGCCACGACTGTTATTGCTCATGGGGGTGAGTCACAGCCACGACTGTTATTGCTCATGGGGGTGAGTGACAGCCACGACTGTTATTGCTCATGGGGATGAGTCACAGCCACGACTGTTATTGCTCATGGGGGTGAGTCACAGCCACGACTGTTATTGCTCATGGGGGTGAGTCACAGCCACGACTGCTATTGCTCATGGGGGTGAGTCACAGCCACGACTGTTATTGCTCATGGGGGTGAGTCACAGCCACGACTGTTATTGCTCATGGGGGTGAGTCACAGCCACGACTGTTATTGCTCATGGGGGTGAGTCACAGCCACGACTGTTATTGCTCATGGGGGTGAGTCACAGCCACGACTGTTATTGCTCATGGGGGGTGAGTGACAGCCACGACTGTTATTGCTCATGGGGGTGAGTCACAGCCACGACTGTTATTGCTCATGGGGGTGAGTGACAGCCACGACTGTTATTGCTCATGGGGATGAGTCACAGCCACGACTGTTATTGCTCATGGGGGTGAGTCACAGCCACGACTGTTATTGCTCATGGGGGTGAGTCACAGCCACGACTGCTATTGCTCATGGGGGTGAGTCACAGCCACGACTGTTATTGCTCATGGGGGTGAGTCACAGCCACGACTGTTATTGCTCATGGGGGTGAGTCACAGCCACGACTGTTATTGCTCATGGGGGTGAGTCACAGCCACGACTGTTATTGCTCATGGGGGTGAGTCACAGCCACGACTGTTATTGCTCATGGGGGTGAGTCACAGCCACGACTGTTATTGCTCATGGGGGTGAGTGACAGCCACGACTGTTATTGCTCATGGGGGTGAGTCACAGCCACGACTGTTATTGCTCATGGGGGTGAGTGACAGCCACGACTGTTATTGCTCATGGGGATGAGTCACAGCCACGACTGTTATTGCTCATGGGGGTGAGTCACAGCCACGACTGTTATTGCTCATGGGGGTGAGTCACAGCCACGACTGTTATTGCTCATGGGGGTGAGTCACAGCCACGACTGTTATTGCTCATGGGGGTGAGTGACAGCCACGACTGTTATTGCTCATGGGGGTGAGTGACAGCCACGACTGTTATTGCTCATGGGGGTGAGTCACAGCCACGACTGTTATTGCTCATGGGGGTGAGTCACAGCCAGGACTGTTATTGCTCATGGGGGTGAGTCACAGCCACGACTGTTATTGCTCATGGGGGTGAGTCACAGCCACGACTGTTATTGCTCATGGGGGTGAGTCACAGCCACGACTGTTATTGCTCATGGGGGTGAGTCACAGCCACGACTGTTATTGCTCATGGGGGTGAGTGACAGACACGACTTTTATTGCTCATGGGGGTGAGTCACAGCCACGACTGTTATTGCTCATGGGGGTGAGTGACAGCCACGACTGTTATTGCTCATGGGGGTGAGTCACAGCCACGACTGTTATTGCTCATGGGGGTGAGTCACAGCCACGACTGTTATTGCTCATGGGGGTGAGTGACAGCCACGACTGTTATTGCTCATGGGGGTGAGTGACAGCCACGACTGTTATTGCTCATGGGGGTGAGTCACAGCCACGACTGTTATTGCTCATGGGGGTGAGTGACAGCCACGACTGTTATTGCTCATGGGGGTGAGTGACAGCCACGACTGTTATTGCTCATGGGGGTGAGTCACAGCCACGACTGTTATTGCTCATGGGGGTGAGTGACAGACACGACTTTTATTGCTCATGGGGGTGAGTCACAGCCACGACTGTTATTGCTCATGGGGGTGAGTGACAGCCACGACTGTTATTGCTCATGGGGGTGAGTCACAGCCACGACTGTTATTGCTCATGGGGGTGAGTCACAGCCACGACTGTTATTGCTCATGGGGGTGAGTGACAGCCACGACTGTTATTGCTCATGGGGGTGAGTGACAGCCACGACTGTTATTGCTCATGGGGGTGAGTCACAGCCACGACTGTTATTGCTCATGGGGGTGAGTCACAGCCACGACTGTTATTGCTCATGGGGTTGAGTGACAGCCACGACTGTTATTGCTCATGGGGTTGAGTCACAGCCACGACTGTTATTGCTCATGGGGGTGAGTCACAGCCACGACTGTTATTGCTCATGGGGGTGAGTGACAGACACGACTTTTATTGCTCATGGGGGTGAGTCACAGCCACGACTGTTATTGCTCATGGGGGTGAGTGACAGCCACGACTGTTATTGCTCATGGGGGTGAGTCACAGCCACGACTGTTATTGCTCATGGGGGTGAGTCACAGCCACGACTGTTATTGCTCATGGGGGTGAGTGACAGCCACGACTGTTATTGCTCATGGGGGTGAGTGACAGCCACGACTGTTATTGCTCATGGGGGTGAGTCACAGCCACGACTGTTATTGCTCATGGGGGTGAGTCACAGCCACGACTGTTATTGCTCATGGGGGTGAGTGACAGCCACGACTGTTATTGCTCATGGGGTTGAGTCACAGCCACGACTGTTATTGCTCATGGGGGTGAGTCACAGCCACGACTGTTATTGCTCATGGGGGTGAGTGACAGCCACGACTGTTATTGCTCATGGGGTTGAGTCACAGCCACGACTGTTATTGCTCGTGGGGGTGAGTGACAGCCACGACTGTTATTGCTCATGGGGATGAGTCACAGCCACGACTGTTATTGCTCATGGGGGTGAGTCACAGCCACGACTGTTATTGCTCATGGGGGTGAGTGACAGCCACGACTGTTATTGCTCATGGGGGTGAGTGACAGCCACGACTGTTATTGCTCATGGGGGTGAGTCACAGCCACGACTGTTATTGCTCATGGGGGTGAGTGACAGACACGACTTTTATTGCTCATGGGGGTGAGTCACAGCCACGACTGTTATTGCTCATGGGGGTGAGTGACAGCCACGACTGTTATTGCTCATGGGGGTGAGTCACAGCCACGACTGTTATTGCTCATGGGGGTGAGTCACAGCCACGACTGTTATTGCTCATGGGGGTGAGTGACAGCCACGACTGTTATTGCTCATGGGGGTGAGTGACAGCCACGACTGTTATTGCTCATGGGGGTGAGTCACAGCCACGACTGTTATTGCTCATGGGGGTGAGTCACAGCCACGACTGTTATTGCTCATGGGGGTGAGTGACAGCCACGACTGTTATTGCTCATGGGGTTGAGTCACAGCCACGACTGTTATTGCTCATGGGGGTGAGTCACAGCCACGACTGTTATTGCTCGTGGGGGTGAGTGACAGCCACGACTGTTATTGCTCATGGGGATGAGTCACAGCCACGACTGTTATTGCTCATGGGGGTGAGTCACAGCCACGACTGTTATTGCTCATGGGGGTGAGTGACAGCCACGACTGTTATTGCTCATGGGGGTGAGTCACAGCTACGACTGTTATTGCTCATGGGGGTGAGTCACAGCCACGACTGTTATTGCTCATGGGGGTGAGTCACAGCCACGACTGTTATTGCTCATGGGGGTGAGTGACAGCCACGACTGTTATTGCTCATGGGGGTGAGTCACAGCCACGACTGTTATTGCTCATGGGGGTGAGTGACAGCCACGACTGTTATTGCTCATGGGGGTGAGTGACAGCCACGACTGTTATTGCTCATGGGGGTGAGTCACAGCCACGACTGTTATTGCTCATGGGGGTGAGTGACAGCCACGACTGTTATTGCTCATGGGGGTGAGTCACAGCCACGACTGTTATTGCTCATGGGGGTGAGTCACAGCCACGACTGTTATTGCTCATGGGGGTGAGTGACAGCCACGACTGTTATTGCTCATGGGGGTGAGTCACAGCCACGACTGTTATTGCTCATGGGGGTGAGTCACAGCCACGACTGTTATTGCTCATGGGGGTGAGTCACAGCCACGACTGTTATTGCTCATGGGGGTGAGTCACAGCCACGACTGTTATTGCTCATGGGGGTGAGTCACAGCCACGACTGTTATTGCTCATGGGGGTGAGTGACAGCCACGACTGTTATTGCTCATGGGGGTGAGTCACAGCCACGACTGTTATTGCTCATGGGGGTGGGTCACAGCCACGACTGTTGTTGCTCATGGGGGTGAGTGACAGCCACGACTGTTATTGCTCATGGGGGTGAGTCACAGCCACGACTGTTATTGCTCATGGGGGTGAGTCACAGCCACGACTGTTATTGCTCATGGGGGTGAGTCACAGCCACGACTGTTATTGCTCATGGGGGTGAGTCACAGCCACGACTGTTATTGCTCATGGGGGTGAGTGACAGCCACGACTGTTATTGCTCATGGGGGTGAGTCACAGCCACGACTGTTGTTGCTCATGGGGGTGAGTCACAGCCACGACTGTTATTGCTCATGGGGGTGAGTCACAGCCACGACTGTTATTGCTCATGGGGGTGAGTCACAGCCACGACTGTTATTGCTCATGGGGGTGAGTCACAGCCACGACTGTTATTGCTCATGGGGGTGAGTGACAGCCACGACTGTTATTGCTCATGGGGGTGAGTCACAGCCACGACTGTTATTGCTCATGGGGGTGGGTCACAGCCACGACTGTTGTTGCTCATGGGGGTGAGTGACAGCCACGACTGTTATTGCTCATGGGGGTGAGTCACAGCCACGACTGTTATTGCTCATGGGGGTGAGTGACAGCCACGACTGTTATTGCTCATGGGGGTGAGTGACAGCCACGACTGTTATTGCTCATGGGGTTGAGTCACAGCCACGACTGTTATTGCTCATGGGGGTGAGTCACAGCCACGACTGTTATTGCTCGTGGGGGTGAGTGACAGCCACGACTGTTATTGCTCATGGGGATGAGTCACAGCCACGACTGTTATTGCTCATGGGGGTGAGTCACAGCCACGACTGTTATTGCTCATGGGGGTGAGTGACAGCCACGACTGTTATTGCTCATGGGTGTGAGTCACAGCTACGACTGTTATTGCTCATGGGGGTGAGTCACAGCCACGACTGTTATTGCTCATGGGGGTGAGTCACAGCCACGACTGTTATTGCTCATGGGGGTGAGTGACAGCCACGACTGTTATTGCTCATGGGGGTGAGTCACAGCCACGACTGTTATTGCTCATGGGGGTGAGTGACAGCCACGACTGTTATTGCTCATGGGGGTGAGTGACAGCCACGACTGTTATTGCTCATGGGGGTGAGTGACAGCCACGACTGTTATTGCTCATGGGGGTGAGTGACAGCCACGACTGTTATTGCTCATGGGGGTGAGTCACAGCCACGACTGTTATTGCTCATGGGGGTGAGTCACAGCCACGACTGTTATTGCTCATGGGGGTGAGTGACAGCCACGACTGTTATTGCTCATGGGGGTGAGTCACAGCCACGACTGTTATTGCTCATGGGGGTGAGTCACAGCCACGACTGTTATTGCTCATGGGGGTGAGTCACAGCCACGACTGTTATTGCTCATGGGGGTGAGTCACAGCCACGACTGTTATTGCTCATGGGGGTGAGTCACAGCCACGACTGTTATTGCTCATGGGGGTGAGTGACAGCCACGACTGTTATTGCTCATGGGGGTGAGTCACAGCCACGACTGTTATTGCTCATGGGGGTGGGTCACAGCCACGACTGTTGTTGCTCATGGGGGTGAGTGACAGCCACGACTGTTATTGCTCATGGGGGTGAGTCACAGCCACGACTGTTATTGCTCATGGGGGTGAGTCACAGCCACGACTGTTATTGCTCATGGGGGTGAGTCACAGCCACGACTGTTATTGCTCATGGGGGTGAGTGACAGCCACGACTGTTATTGCTCATGGGGGTGAGTCACAGCCACGACTGTTATTGCTCATGGGGGTGAGTCACAGCCACGACTGTTATTGCTCATGGGGGTGAGTCACAGCCACGACTGTTATTGCTCATGGGGGTGAGTCACAGCCACGACTGTTATTGCTCATGGGGGTGAGTCACAGCCACGACTGTTATTGCTCATGGGGGTGAGTGACAGCCACGACTGTTATTGCTCATGGGGGTGAGTCACAGCCACGACTGTTATTGCTCATGGGGGTGGGTCACAGCCACGACTGTTGTTGCTCATGGGGGTGAGTGACAGCCACGACTGTTATTGCTCATGGGGGTGAGTCACAGCCACGACTGTTATTGCTCATGGGGGTGAGTCACAGCCACGACTGTTATTGCTCATGGGGGTGAGTCACAGCCACGACTGTTATTGCTCATGGGGGTGAGTCACAGCCACGACTGTTATTGCTCATGGGGGTGAGTGACAGCCACGACTGTTATTGCTCATGGGGGTGAGTCACAGCCACGACTGTTATTGCTCATGGGGGTGAGTCACAGCCACGACTGTTATTGCTCATGGGGGTGAGTCACAGCCACGACTGTTATTGCTCATGGGGGTGAGTCACAGCCACGACTGTTATTGCTCATGGGGGTGAGTCACAGCCACTACTGTTATTGCTCATGGGGGTGAGTGACAGCCACGACTGTTATTGCTCATGGGGGTGAGTCACAGCCACGACTGTTATTGCTCATGGGGGTGGGTCACAGCCACGACTGTTGTTGCTCATGGGGGTGAGTGACAGCCACGACTGTTATTGCTCATGGGGGTGAGTCACAGCCACGACTGTTATTGCTCATGGGGGTGAGTCACAGCCACGACTGTTATTGCTCATGGGGGTGAGTGACAGCCACGACTGTTATTGCTCATGGGGGTGAGTCACAGCCACGAATGTTTTGCTCATGGGGGTGAGTCACAGCCACGACTGTTATTGCTCATGGGGGTGAGTGACAGCCACGACTGTTATTGCTCATGGGGGTGAGTCACAGCCACGACTGTTATTGCTCATGGGGGTGAGTCACAGCCACGACTGTTATTGCTCATGGGGGAGTGAAAGTGCGGGTGAGTGGAGCACGGAGAGTAGAGAGAAAGAGTAGAGGAAAGAGACGTGCAGGTGAGTGGGGGAATGAAAATGCGGGAGAGTGAAGCACAGAGAGGCGAGGTGAGAGGGCGAGTGGAAAGGGTGGATGATGATGGTCACGGCTGGTGTGGTGGTGCAGCGGTGGGGGGTGAGAGTAAGATGTGGTATAGAGCAGTTGATGCAAGTGCGATCCAGCTCTCTTGCGTGCTGTGCTGTCATTGCGATATCTATTAGCAAGAGCGGGTGGCGTCACTCAGTGCCCGTTGCCTCTCACCGTCCTACCGTATCTCTCTTTTTCTCATCGGAATGCCTCTTCTCTCATCACACGCCCCTCTTTCCCTATCCCCATTCCCCACCGTTACTGCCCCTCCTGCAACTCCTTGCAGAACGAGAACCGTGACGTGGCAAAGGGCTTCGCTGAGGTCATTTTGACAGCGGATGACGTGGCAGTGATGGCGTGTCCAGCCATGAGCGCGCATGCAGTGGTGAACATCGACACCTCTCGCTCGGCGTACCTCATGGCGTGCCAGGATGGCCTGCATGACCCCAACGACCCTCGCTCTGACTATGCTGTCTGGTCCGACCTTGTGTGATGGGCTGCGCATGCCGTGGAATAAAAAAGTACACTGTAACATACATATTCTAGTTTATATGAGAATTCTTCTTTATAAAAAGACAGTACATCCGAGGAAAAAAGGGTGGGTGATGTGCAAGCCGCGGCAGGAATCACTTGGTGCAGCACTCGGAGTTCACTAGCGAGGGCAGTCGCTGCAAGTCAGGGAGTGGAGCAGCAATGCTCCAGTATCGCCACAGCCACAGCCACAGCACCATCCCGCTTCTCCCAGCTCTGGTAGCATCTGGCAGCCCGTCACTGCGAACCAGGTGCACATGTATTCCACCACGACCTCTGGCTGATTAAGGTGTGGTGCCGTGGAGTGGAGTGGAGTGGAGTGGAGTGGAGTGGAGTGGAGTGGAGTGGAGTGGAGTGGAGTGGAGTGGAGTGGAGTGAAACAAAGCAGAAAGGGTCAGCCGTGGTGCAGGCGCACGGAGGCCTTGAGCTTGTTGAGAAGGAAATTCTCCAGCCTGGGCGCAGGGCGGGATGGGGAGAGAAGGGGGGGAGTGGGAAGAAAGGGCAACGAGAGGAGGAAGTGGTGATAAGCGTAATCTGAGGACAGGGAGCACGAGGGCAAGATAGTTGGGGATCGTTCCACATAAACTCTTGGAGCACCTGAGACTTCACCTGAAAGTCACCTGAGAGTCACCTGATACTTCACCTGACTTGATGCACGTCACCTGTTGGCGCATTTGAAGTAGATGGTGTCGGGTGCGTTGTAGGTGCGCGCATTGGCGGTCATGCGGCGCATGTCAGCCACAAACATATCAATCGTCAGGTAAAAGCTCTCCGCCTCCAGCCGCTTCTGCATCGTCTTGAGATCTGCCATGCCATGCAGGCACAGGGGGGGAGGGGGCAGTGGGACAGGCGAGTACGGGGGCAGCGGAGTAGGGGGGCAGCGGAGTAGGGGAGAGATGGAGAAGAGGGACGGAAGGGAAGGGGAGAAGTGGAGAAGCAGGATGGCAGGGAGGAGCGGGTGAGATCGGAGCGATGTTGGATAGGTGCACACAAGATGAGTGCAGAATGGGGATGAGCATGCAGTGAGAATGTGCACACTCGTCACAACCCCAATCAACCTTGTCAACAACAGTGAACAGAAATCGTACAAGTGAGGTGCTTGACGATCCCAGTGAGAGCATTCTGACGAAACAATGCAAGACACAGCTCACACATGTGGGGCTTTCATGACTACTGCCTCGGCCTGCGGACAGCAGCAGCACGACGCACCGATGGGGTCCTTGATGATGTCGTAGTAGTCGGGCACCTCGTTGCCGTCCACTGGGTCCTTGAACGGCCACGAGTCCGCATGCTCCATCACCGCCTGCCCTCCATGCCACGTACGGTGTCATGGCGGCATGATGCCGAAAAAAGGGCATGGTGACAAACGTTGAAGCTTTTTGAACGGAGTGACAATTGGACAGCAGGGCGCGAGGGGTGAGGAGCAAAAGGCACAGGAGGGGCGCGGCAAAAGCTTCTCGTCCATCCATGCAGCCAAATAGCGACGCCCACCGCCCCGCCCTACCCGGTGCATCTGCCCGCCCTACCCGGTGCATCTGCCCGCCCTACCCGGTGCATCTGCCCGCCCTACCCGGTGCATCTGCCCGCCCTACCCGGTGCATCTGCCCGCCCTACCCGGTGCATCTGCCCGCCCTACCCGGTGCATCTGCCCGCCCTACCCGGTGCATCTGCCCGCCCTACCCGGTGCATCTGCCCGCCCTACCCGGTGCATCTGCCCGCCCTACCCGGTGCATCTGCCCGCCCTACCCGGTGCATCTGCCCGCCCTACCCGGTGCATCTGCCCGCCCTACCCGGTGCATCTGCCCGCCCTACCCGGTGCATCTGCCCGCCCTACCCGGTGCATCTGCCCGCCCTACCCGGTGCATCTGCCCGCCCTACCCGGTGCATCTGCCCGCCCTACCCGGTGCATCTGCCCGCCCTACCCGGTGCATCTGCCCGCCCTACCCGGTGCATCTGCCCGCCCTACCCGGTGCATCTGCCCGCCCTACCCGGTGCATCTGCCCGCCCTACCCGGTGCATCTGCCCGCCCTACCCGGTGCATCTGCCCGCCCTACCCGGTGCATCTGCCCGCCCTACCCGGTGCATCTGCCCGCCCTACCCGGTGCATCTGCCCGCCCTACCCGGTGCATCTGCCCGCCCTACCCGGTGCATCTGCCCGCCCTACCCGGTGCATCTGCCCGCCCTACCCGGTGCATCTGCCCGCCCTACCCGGTGCATCTGCCCGCCCTACCCGGTGCATCTGCCCGCCCTACCCGGTGCATCTGCCCGCCCTACCCGGTGCATCTGCCCGCCCTACCCGGTGCATCTGCCCGCCCTACCCGGTGCATCTGCCCGCCCTACCCGGTGCATCTGCCCGCCCTACCCGGTGCATCTGCCCGCCCTACCCGGTGCATCTGCCCGCCCTACCCGGTGCATCTGCCCGCCCTACCCGGAGCATCTGCCCGCCCTACCCGGTGCATCTGCCCGCCCTACCCGGTGCATCTGCCCGCCCTACCCGGTGCATCTGCCCGCCCTACCCGGTGCATCTGCCCGCCCTACCCGGTGCATCTGCCCGCCCTACCCGGTGCATCTGCCCTCCCTACCCGGTGCATCTGCTTCATCAGGTTGTGCAGCTGGGCCTTGGTGGGCGGCCCGTCGCGGCTGACATCCTTTGTCCCATCTGGCGCCACCTGCACCAGTCGGATCTTATTCGCGCCACTCTTCTCGGGCGTCCACCCGCTCTCCGCCAGCCCGGGGATGTCGCCCAGCCTGAGAGCGCGGCGCGGCACACCCCAGGAGTCACGCGGGAAGTCGAGCCCGGGGTGCACCACGTGGCTGCGCGCTACCTGGCGCATTCGCTCCGTTATCGCCTGGGGGGTGCGGGGGAGAAGAGGAGGAGAGGAAAGGCGGATATGGGGGATTTGGCGGAGGGGAAATTGGGGGGGGCAGTCCAAACCAGGGTGCACCACGTGGCTGCGCGCCACCTGCCGCATGCGCTCCGTTATGGCCTGGGAAGGGGGGGGAAACGGGGGGAGGCCCACGTAAAGTCATGGCAGCTAAGTGGGCCCCACGCCACCTGCTGCATGCGTTCAGTTATGGCTGGAGAAGGGGGAGAGGGGAGGAAGGAGGGGTGGTGGCGGGTGACGCAGATGTGCAGCTGGGTTGATGGGTGTGTGAGTATGCCATGGCATGGCATGGCATGGCATGGCATGGCATGGCATGGCATGGCATGGCGTGGCATGGCATGGCGTGGCATGGCATGGCATGGCGTGGCATGGCATGGCGTGGCATGGCATGGCATGGCATGGCGTGGCATGGCATGGCATGGCATGGCATGGCGTGGCATGGCGTGGCATGGCGTGGCATGGCATGGCATGGCATGGCATGGCATGGCATGGCATGGCGTGGCATGGCGTGGCGTGGCATGGCATGGCATGGCATGGCATGGCGTGGCATGGCGTGGCATGGCGTGGCATGGCGTGGCACGTAATGGATAGGCGTGGGGAGGTTGTTGCTAAGCTCACCTGGCGCTGCTTGAGCAGCACGGCAGGCAGCGTGGTGTAGGGCAGCCCCATCAACACACACTCCATCAACGGGCTGTAGAGCACTTAGGTACCATGCCTGGTGTGGCATGCCATGGCGCCGTGTGCCTGGTGTGGCATGCCATGGCGTCGTGTGCCTGGTGTGGCATGCCATGGCGTCGTGTGCCTGGTGTGGCATGCCATGGCGTCGTGTGCCTGGTGTGGCATGCCATAGCGTCGTGTGCCTGGTGTGGCATGCCATGGCGCCGTGTGCCTGGTGTGGCATGCCATGGCGTCGTGTGCCTGGTGTGGCATGCCATGGCGCCGTGTGCCTGGTGTGGCATGCCATGGCGTCGTGTGCCTGGTGTGGCATGCCATGGCGTCGTGTGCCTGGTGTGGCATGCCATGGCGTCGTGTGCCTGGTGTGGCATGCCATGGCATTGTGTGCCTGGTGTGGCATGCCATGGCGTCGTGTGCCTGGTGTGGCATGCCATGGCGCCGTGTGCCTGGTGTGGCATGCCATGGCGCCGTGTGCCTGGTGTGGCATGCCATGGCGTCGTGTGCCTGGTGTGGCATGCCATGGCGTCGTGTGCCTGGTGTGGCATGCCATGGCGCCGTGTGCCTGGTGTGGCATGCCATGGCGCCGTGTGCCTGGTGTGGCATGCCATGGCGTCGTGTGCCTGGTGTGGCATGCCATGGCGCCGTGTGCCTGGTGTGGCATGCCATGGCGTCGTGTGCCTGGTGTGGCATGCCATGGCGTCGTGTGCCTGGTGTGGCATGCCATGGCGCCGTGTGCCTGGTGTGGCATGCCATGGCGCCGTGTGCCTGGTGTGGCATGCCATGGCGCCGTGTGCCTGGTGTGGCATGCCATGGCGTCGTGTGCCTGGTGTGGCATGCCATGGCGTCGTGTGCCTGGTGTGGCATGCCATGGCGTCGTGTGCCTGGTGTGGCATGCCATGGCGCCGTGTGCCTGGTGTGGCATGCCATGGCGTCGTGTGCCTGGTGTGGCATGCCATGGCGTCGTGTGCCTGGTGTGGCATGCCATGGCGCCGTGTGCCTGGTGTGGCATGCCATGGCGTCGTGTGCCTGGTGTGGCATGCCATGGCGTCGTGTGCCTGGTGTGGCATGCCATGGCGCCGTGTGCCTGGTGTGGCATGCCATGGCGTCGTGTGCCTGGTGTGGCATGCCATGGCGTCGTGTGCCTGGTGTGGCATGCCATGGCGCCGTGTGCCTGGTGTGGCATGCCATGGCGTCGTGTGCCTGGTGCGGCATGCCATGGCGCCGTGTGCCTGGTGTGGCATGCCATGGAGCCGTGTGCCTGGTGTGGCATGCCATGGCGTCGTGTGCCTGGTGTGGCATGCCATGGCGTCGTGTGCCTGGTGTGGCATGCCATGGCGTCGTGTGCCTGGTGTGGCATGCCATGGCGTCGTGTGCCTGGTGTGGCATGCCATGGCGCCGTGTGCCTGGTGTGGCATGCCATGGCGCCGTGTGCCTGGTGTGGCATGCCATGGCGTCGTGTGCCTGGTGTGGCATGCCATGGCGTCGTGTGCCTGGTGTGGCATGCCATGGCGCCGTGTGCCTGGTGTGGCATGCCATGGCGTCGTGTGCCTGGTGTGGCATGCCATGGCGTCGTGTGCCTGGTGTGGCATGCCATGGCGTCGTGTGCCTGGTGTGGCATGCCATGGCGTCGTGTGCCTGGTGTGGCATGCCATGGCGTCGTGTGCCTGGTGTGGCATGCCATGGCGTCGTGTGCCTGGTGTGGCATGCCATGGCGTCGTGTGCCTGGTGTGGCATGCCATGGCGTCGTGTCCCTGGTGTGGCATGCCATGGCGCCGTGTGCCACGGCTGTTGCTGCACGCACCTGGCGCTGCTTGAGCAGCACGGCGGGCAGGGTGGTGTAGGGCAGCCCCTTCTCCAACACACACTCCATCAGCGTGCCCCCGTCATAGTCCTTTATGTACCTGCCGCCATCGGGGCGAGGAGGGAGGGGCGAGGGGGAAAGGGAGAGGAAAGAGGGGGGAGGGGGAAAGGAGGGTGGAGAGAGAAGAGAGAAGGGAGGGGAGCAAGAATGAGAGTGCGAAGGCTCATAGCCTCCAAGTTTAAGGGGTTAGTGGATGAATGGAGGAACGGGAAATGGGTGAGAGCGTCATCTGGTGATGCACTTGTGCTGAGGGGCTTGGATTGGCGAGCATGGACATGTGGGAACAGAGTGGTGCAGCCCAGAAAAGCAACATACGCACCCCTCCCATTGCACTTTAGGCATGGTGATCTCCTTTGTGAATCCCTGCATGCACACATGCGCACATTCACACATGCATACATGCACACACGCACACACATGCAAACATGCAGACATGCATGCACATGCAGACATGCACAAACACACAGACGCACACGCACACAAGCACACACAAAAACATGCACACACATACATGCACACACATACATGCACACACACACGCACACATGCATGCAACACACATGCAAATACACATGCAAACAGATGCATGCGCACAAGGGAGAGAAAGGCAAGAAAAAAGGGTTACTGTAGCGGAAGCTGGATGGAAAAGGAGAGAAGCACGAGCGACATTGTGGTTACAGGCGTGCATGCAGGCATGCAACATGGGCAGGGCAGCACCTGCTTGACGAAGTATCCAACAGCGTTGTTGTCAGCGTAGGTGAGGAAGTATCGCAGCCCGTCCTCATCCCTCGCATGCGCCTTGAGGTGATTCATCAGCCTCGTGCCGTACCCCCTCACCTGCACCACACACACGCCACACCACACCACGCACAACACGCACCACGCACAGCATATAGCAGCACAGCAAAATGTGCAGTGGGACAGGCCTTACGGGCACCACCAGCCAGGTACAGCTGAGCTGAGAGCCGCTGCAACCCCAACCTCAAGCTCAAGCTCACAGCACGCAGCCATCATTCCACACAGTCGTACAGCTCACACGCACAGGCACACGCACAGCAAGGTTCACTAGACCCCATGGGAAATTCGAGAGCACCCACACACACACGTGGTGACGATTCTCGCGGCCATTACATGCTCGCTCTCCCTCATGCTCGCTCTCCCTCATGCCGCTCACCTGCTCTGTGGCTGTGATGGCACAAAACGCTATCTCCCCAAACCGCTGCCTGCACACAGTGTGATGCCATGTGCATGGTGTGATGCCATGTGCATGGTGTGATGCCATGTGCATGGTGTGATGCCATGTGCATGGTGTGATGCCATGTGCATGGTGTGATGCCATGTGCATGGTGTGATGCCATGTGCATGGTGAAAAGGTTTGAGGTTTAAGCGAAGGATAACAGTTTGCTTCAGGACATACTACATAAGTTAGGTTTTGCAAACAAACACCTTTATGATGATTTCTCATTTCAACACAATGAATGCACACACTCACGAGGGGTAGCGGCACTCACGAGGGGTAGGGGCACTCACGAGGGGTAGGGGCACTCACGAGGGGTAGGGGCGGTATGTGATGCCACCAACGACGGTGCCTGCCTTGATGAGCATCATTGACATGTGCGTTCTGATGGTGTGTGGATGTGCATGGAGGGAAAAAGGGGAGTATGAGCCGAACACACATGCTTACACGAGGCATGCACGTTGGGAAGAGCCCGGGGTCAGCACAGCAGCAATGCAGAACAGTTACCATTCTTACACTTACGTCAACCCCACCTCAGCATCACCCACCACACTGACCGGTCGAGCAGGAAGCAGCACAGTGACTGACCGGTCGAGCAGGAATCAGCACAGTGACTGACCGGTCGAGCAGGAAGCAGCACAGTGACTGACCGGTCGAGCAGGAAGCAGCACAGTGACTGACCGGTCGAGCAGGAAGCGGCACGGTGACTGACCGGTCGAGCAGGAAGCAGCACAGTGACTGACCGGTCGAGCAGGAAGCAGCACAGTGACTGACCGGTCGAGCAGGAAGCAGCACAGTGACTGACCGGTCGAGCAGGAAGCAGCACAGTGACTGACCGGTCGAGCAGGAAGCAGCACAGTGACTGACCGGTCGAGCAGGAAGCAGCACAGTGACTGACCGGTCGAGCAGGAAGCAGCACAGTGACTGACCGGTCGAGCAGGAAGCAGCACAGTGACTGACCGGTCGAGCAGGAAGCAGCACAGTGACTGACCGGTCGAGCAGGAAGCAGCACAGTGACTGACCGGTCGAGCAGGAAGCAGCACAGTGACTGACCGGTCGAGCAGGAAGCAGCACAGTGACTGACCGGTCGAGCAGGAATCAGCACAGTGACTGACCGGTCGAGCAGGAATCAGCACAGTGACTGACCGGTCGAGCAGGAAGCAGCACGGTGACTGACCGGTCGAGCAGGAAGCAGCACAGTGACTGACCGGTCGAGCAGGAAGCAGCACAGTGACTGACCGGTCGAGCAGGAAGCAGCACGGTGACTGACCGGTCGAGCAGGAATCAGCACGGTGACTGACCGGTCGAGCAGGAAGCAGCACAGTGACTGACCGGTCGAGCAGGAAGCATCACAGTGACTGACCGGTCGAGCAGGAATCAGCACAGTGACTGACCGGTCGAGCAGGAAGCAGCACAGTGACTGACCGGTCGAGCAGGAAGCAGCACAGTGACTGACCGGTCGAGCAGGAATCAGCACAGTGACTGTCCGGTCGAGCAGGAAGCAGCACAGTGACTGACCGGTCGAGCAGGAAGCAGCACAGTGACTGACCGGTCGAGCAGGAAGCAGCACAGTGACTGACCGGTCGAGCAGGAAGCAGCACAGTGACTGACCGGTCGAGCAGGAAGCAGCACAGTGACTGACCGGTCGAGCAGGAAGCAGCACAGTGACTGACCGGTCGAGCAGGAAGCAGCACAGTGACTGACCGGTCGAGCAGGAAGCAGCACAGTGACTGACCGGTCGAGCAGGAAGCAGCACAGTGACTGACCGGTCGAGCAGGAAGCAGCACAGTGACTGACCGGTCGAGCAGGAATCAGCACAGTGACTGACCGGTCGAGCAGGAATCAGCACAGTGACTGACCGGTCGAGCAGGAATCAGCACAGTGACTGACCGGTCGAGCAGGAAGCAGCACAGTGACTGACCGGTCGGGCAGGAAGCAGCACAGTGACTGACCGGTCGAGCAGGAAGCAGCACGGTGACTGACCGGTCGAGCAGGAAGCAGCACAGTGACTGACCGGTCGAGCAGGAATCAGCACGGTGACTGACCGGTCGAGCAGGAAGCAGCACAGTGACTGACCGGTCGAGCAGGAAGCAGCACAGTGACTGACCGGTCGAGCAGGAATCAGCACAGTGACTGACCGGTCGAGCAGGAAGCAGCACAGTGACTGACCGGTCGAGCAGGAAGCAGCACAGTGACTGACCGGTCGAGCAGGAAGCAGCACGGTGACTGACCGGTCGAGCAGGAAGCAGCACAGTGACTGACCGGTCGAGCAGGAAGCAGCACAGTGACTGACCGGTCGAGCAGGAAGCAGCACGGTGACTGACCGGTCGAGCAGGAAGCAGCACAGTGACTGACCGGTCGAGCAGGAAGCAGCACAGTGACTGACCGGTCGAGCAGGAAGCAGCACAGTGACTGACCGGTCGAGCAGGAAGCAGCACAGTGACTGACCGGTCGAGCAGGAAGCAGCACGGTGACTGACCGGTCGAGCAGGAAGCAGCACAGTGACTGACCGGTCGAGCAGGAAGCAGCACAGTGACTGACCGGTCGAGCAGGAAGCAGCACAGTGACTGACCGGTCGAGCAGGAAGCAGCACAGTGACTGACCGGTCGAGCAGGAATCAGCACAGTGACTGACCGGTCGAGCAGGAATCAGCACAGTGACTGACCGGTCGAGCAGGAAGCAGCACAGTGACTGACCGGTCGAGCAGGAAGCAGCACGGTGACTGACCGGTCGAGCAGGAAGCAGCACAGTGACTGACCGGTCGAGCAGGAAGCAGCACAGTGACTGACCGGTCGAGCAGGAATCAGCACAGTGACTGACCGGTCGAGCAGGAAGCAGCACAGTGACTGACCGGTCGAGCAGGATGCAGCACGGTGACTGACCGGTCGAGCAGGAAGCAGCACAGTGACTGACCGGTCGAGCAGGAAGCAGCACAGTGACTGACCGGTCGAGCAGGAAGCAGCACGGTGACTGACCGGTCGAGCAGGAAGCAGCACAGTGACTGACCGGTCGAGCAGGAATCAGCACGGTGACTGACCGGTCGAGCAGGAAGCAGCACAGTGACTGACCGGTCGAGCAGGAAGCAGCACAGTGACTGACCGGTCGAGCAGGAATCAGCACAGTGACTGACCGGTCGAGCAGGAAGCAGCACAGTGACTGACCGGTCGAGCAGGAAGCAGCACAGTGACTGACCGGTCGAGCAGGAAGCAGCACGGTGACAGACCGGTCGAGCAGGAAGCAGCACAGTGACTGACCGGTCGAGCAGGAAGCAGCACAGTGACTGACCGGTCGAGCAGGAAGCAGCACGGTGACTGACCGGTCGAGCAGGAAGCAGCACAGTGACTGACCGGTCGAGCAGGAAGCAGCACAGTGACTGACCGGTCGAGCAGGAAGCAGCACAGTGACTGACCGGTCGAGCAGGAAGCAGCACAGTGACTGACCGGTCGAGCAGGAAGCAGCACGGTGACTGACCGGTCGAGCAGGAAGCAGCACAGTGACTGACCGGTCGAGCAGGAAGCAGCACAGTGACTGACCGGTCGAGCAGGAAGCAGCACAGTGACTGACCGGTCGAGCAGGAAGCAGCACAGTGACTGACCGGTCGAGCAGGAATCAGCACAGTGACTGACCGGTCGAGCAGGAATCAGCACAGTGACTGACCGGTCGAGCAGGAAGCAGCACAGTGACTGACCGGTCGAGCAGGAAGCAGCACGGTGACTGACCGGTCGAGCAGGAAGCAGCACAGTGACTGACCGGTCGAGCAGGAAGCAGCACAGTGACTGACCGGTCGAGCAGGAATCAGCACAGTGACTGACCGGTCGAGCAGGAAGCAGCACAGTGACTGACCGGTCGAGCAGGAAGCAGCACAGTGACTGACCGGTCGAGCAGGAAGCGGCACGGTGACTGACCGGTCGAGCAGGAAGCAGCACGGTGACTGACCGGTCGAGCAGGAAGCAGCACAGTGACTGACCGGTCGAGCAGGAATCAGCACAGTGACTGACCGGTCGAGCAGGAAGCAGCACAGTGACTGACCGGTCGAGCAGGAAGCAGCACAGTGACTGACCGGTCGAGCAGGAAGCAGCACGGTGACTGACCGGTCGAGCAGGAAGCAGCACAGTGACTGACCGGTCGAGCAGGAAGCAGCACAGTGACTGACCGGTCGAGCAGGAAGCAGCACGGTGACTGACCGGTCGAGCAGGAAGCAGCACAGTGACTGACCGGTCGAGCAGGAAGCAGCACAGTGACTGACCGGTCGAGCAGGAAGCAGCACAGTGACTGACCGGTCGAGCAGGAAGCAGCACAGTGACTGACCGGTCGAGCAGGAAGCAGCACGGTGACTGACCGGTCGAGCAGGAAGCAGCACAGTGACTGACCGGTCGAGCAGGAAGCAGCACAGTGACTGACCGGTCGAGCAGGAAGCAGCACAGTGACTGACCGGTCGAGCAGGAAGCAGCACAGTGACTGACCGGTCGAGCAGGAATCAGCACAGTGACTGACCGGTCGAGCAGGAATCAGCACAGTGACTGACCGGTCGAGCAGGAAGCAGCACAGTGACTGACCGGTCGAGCAGGAAGCAGCACGGTGACTGACCGGTCGAGCAGGAAGCAGCACAGTGACTGACCGGTCGAGCAGGAAGCAGCACAGTGACTGACCGGTCGAGCAGGAATCAGCACGGTGACTGACCGGTCGAGCAGGAAGCAGCACAGTGACTGACCGGTCGAGCAGGAAGCAGCACAGTGACTGACCGGTCGAGCAGGAATCAGCACAGTGACTGACCGGTCGAGCAGGAAGCAGCACAGTGACTGACCGGTCGAGCAGGAAGCAGCACAGTGACTGACCGGTCGAGCAGGAATCAGCACAGTGACTGACCGGTCGAGCAGGAAGCAGCACAGTGACTGACCGGTCGAGCAGGAAGCAGCACAGTGACTGACCGGTCGAGCAGGAAGCAGCACAGTGACTGACCGGTCGAGCAGGAAGCAGCACAGTGACTGACCGGTCGAGCAGGAAGCAGCACAGTGACTGACCGGTCGAGCAGGAAGCAGCACAGTGACTGACCGGTCGAGCAGGAAGCAGCACAGTGACTGACCGGTCGAGCAGGAAGCAGCACAGTGACTGACCGGTCGAGCAGGAAGCAGCACAGTGACTGACCGGTCGAGCAGGAAGCAGCACAGTGACTGACCGGTCGAGCAGGAATCAGCACAGTGACTGACCGGTCGAGCAGGAATCAGCACAGTGACTGACCGGTCGAGCAGGAAGCAGCACAGTGACTGACCGGTCGAGCAGGAAGCAGCACGGTGACTGACCGGTCGAGCAGGAAGCAGCACAGTGACTGACCGGTCAAGCAGGAAGCAGCACAGTGACTGACCGGTCGAGCAGGAATCAGCACG